CTCCTAACTCTGGATAGCCTCTGTCCTCTCTGATAGCCCTCTCAGCCCAAAGTAGCATCCACTCTGGCAGCCCCTCCTTTGATTGCTAAGTTTCTGCCCAGCGCCATTATTTTATGAGGAGCCCAGGCCATCCTTGTCCACTTCTCCCAGCCCCACTCTTAACTCTCCCCTCCCCCCACTAACTTTCTGGCTCCCTTTTCTTGGTTGCCTTCCCCCATTAAGTTCTTTAAAGGTAAAGAATGTCAGGTTTTTTGACTTGTGTTTGTTATCAGCAGCACTAGCACAGAGCCTGGTGCACAGGAAGTGCTTAATAATTGTTCTCTGTTCATCTGTCTATCTGTCTCTGCCTATCATTCCATCATGTCTATCTACCTATCTATTGTTAACCAAAAAAAATCACAAGTCCATAAGGCATGGGTTGAAACTGGATTTATTACAAGAGAAACGAACATACATGTGGAACTTTCATACCAAGCATGAAGGAGTTCACAATTCAGGAGTAAGCTCACACACATATTTATGAGTTGCAGTGGCTGGGGGGTTGGGGGGTGGGGAGAATGGAAGGCAATCCTCTCCCAAATGGGAGTGACCGGGAGGAGGAAGGGAACAATAGAGTGAGGAAAAGGTTAATCCCCTCCTGAAAGGGGGGGAGAAAGGTGAAAGGGGGGGAAGGACATGAGTAAGTACATGGCAAAAGCCACATTCTTTTCCCTTGGGAACTGCTAGACTCTGAAGGTCTAATGGTCCACTTATCTCCAAAGGTCTCAACTGCACAGTTTCTCAGTCTGGTGCAGGCTGACTGGCACCTGGCTTGTAACTGGTTCAACCCTCAAGGGCACACTGTGAGAGACCAGCTGAAGGTGCCAGTAACAAATTATGTGAGCTTGGGAGGAAAGCGGGACTTCATCCTTGACTCGTTCAGGGCCTCCTGCACACCCCAGCTCCAGTGTGCCTGGAGAAGCCAGGTTAAGTTGGCTTCAGGCAACACCAGCCATCAACTGTTCCCTCTATCACTGTCTATCTATCTATTGGTCTGTCTGTTTATCTATCTGTCTCCATCCATCTATCTACCTACCTATCTACTGATCTATCACTACCTATCTGTTTATCTATCTCTGTCTATTAATTAATAAATATCTATATCTGTCTATCTGTCCATCTGTCTGCTTCATTGACTAAATTAAAGCCTTTGACTGTATAGATCACAACAGAATGTGGCAAGTCCTCAAAGACATGGGAGGACCAGATTATTACTTGCTCCTAAGGCAGCTGTGGGCCAAGCAGCAGCAGTGAGAACCAAACACGGAACAACTAATTGGTTGAAGACAGGAACAAGCACAACAATGCTGTACATTGCCACTTTATTTATTTAACTTCTACGTGGAGTACATCACGTGGAAGGCTATCAGGAGAAATATCAGCAATCTCAGAAATGCAGACGATGCCACTCTGATGGCAGAAGATGAAGAGGAATTAAGAAGCATATTGATGAGGGTGAAAGAGGAGAGTGTAAATGCTGCTTGAAGCTTAACATCAAAACACCCGAGATCTTGACAACTGGTCCCATTACCTCCTGGCAAATGGAAGCAGTGTCTGATTTTCTATCCTTGGGCTCAAAGATCACTGCCGATGGTGACTGCAGCCACGAAATTGAAAGACACTTGCACCCTGGAAGGAAATCTATGGCAAACCTGGACAGCAGACTAAAAGCCAGAGACATCACCTAGCTGACAAAGGTCCAGATAGTCAAAGCTATGGTTTTTCCAGTAGCAATGCATGGCCGTGAGAGGCAGGCTATAAGGAAAGCTGAGGCACAGAACTGATGCTTTTGAATCGCGGTTCTGGAGAAGACTTTTGAGAGTCTCCGGAACAGCAAGGAGATCAAATCAGTCCATACTTAAAGAAATTAATTCAGGCTATTCACTGAAAAGTCAAAAACTGAAGATGAAGCTTAAATACTTTGGCCACATGATAAGGTAAGACTCATTGGAAAAGACCTTGATGTTGACTGTGGTGTCAGCAGAACAGGAGGCAGGGACAACATCCCCTTCCTCCCTCTGCCTCCGTCAGTTCAACCTGAGATCCCATTCACTTTCCTAGCAGCCACATCACACTGTCCACTTGGGAGCCATGAAATCTCCAGGTCTCTTCCAGGTGAACCACTATGTATCTCTGCTGCCACAGTTGTGTGCTTTCGGAGATGTGGGGTTTTTTTGGGGGGGGAGGCGGGGAAGAAACATCAGACTCTCCATTTCACCATATTGCCTTCAGCTCAATATAAATTCTAGGCCGGGGGCAGCAAACAATTGGGGTCAAATCTGGCCCATTGTCTGTTTTTGTACAGTTCAAGCTAAAAATACAAACTTTATTTAAAATTTTAAACCATTCCCAGTTGACTAGCAGTCCAAAAGCAGGAAGCAGGTTGGCTTTGGCCCTAGGACCCCTGTTCTAGGCTGTTCTAGGCTGTTTTGGCTCCTGGCTCTCACATTCAGTGTGTTATTTCTCACTTCCAGCTTGGTGTTGTCTGCAAATTAGTCATTTTTCTCCCCAGCTGAACTTATTATCTTTGCCTCTTTGGAATGTCATTCTTGACAGCCTCCTAGGCCCCCTGGGCTTAATTCCCCTATAGTCTATGGGTCCAAATCCAACCTTAAACACTCATTACCTGTACAACTCTGGGGAAATCATGAGATGCCTCAGACTTCATTTTCCTCATCTGTAACATGAGCGTGAGGAGGCTCATGTGCTGCAAGGGCTGTCCCAGACATAGAGCACAGGGGTGTCATTGTGTAGCTCAAAAGGGAGGAAGAATAAATATCTCTAGCCTCTTCTCTTCCCACTCTTCTGCAGGGGAGACTTTACTCCCTGCTAGGAGGGGAAGCAGGAGAGCAGTGGCTGAAGCTGCCACTCTGCTCTACTTGGAGAGAGGGAGGGAATACCAGGCTAGAATTATATCTATCTGTCCCCTGAAATGTTAGTAGTGTGGGGGATGTGAGTTTCAGGTTCAAGGTAATTTCTGATCCCTGTTTCAATAAGGGTTGGGGGGGAGGGGACAGAAGGACCCCAAGGGAGAGTATATACCAGGTAATACAGAGTGAAGGAATTCTCCCATTGGGAGTGAGGTAACTCAGCTTAACCAAGAGAGCCGGTCCTGGTTCTCATCCAAGGGGAAGTTCCCAAAGTCTCCAGTGAAGCAAACATGATGAACCAGCTCCTCTCATGTCACCTTCTTGCCAGGGGTAGGTCTCTTCCATATCTCTCTCTCTCTCTCTCTCTCTCTTCTCTCTCTCTCTCTCTCTCTCTCTCTCTCTCTCTCTCCCTCCCTCCCTCCCTCTCCTTCTCCCCTCCCCAGCTCCTTCTCTCCTCTCTCTTCTGGAAGCCAGAAGCAGCTAAGAGATTGGAAGCTTGAAGACTGAAGCATTGGCCCCTGCTCTGCTCTTCCCTACTCTGCCCTTCCCTACTCTGCCCCTCACACATACATATGCCATTCACCTCCACCAGTCAGGAGAGAGTCTTATACCAACGGGCTTTGGGACTTGGTTTACATGGGTGTTATGAGGTCAAATGACTTAGTATGTATCAGGAGCTGTGCTGAGATTAACAGAACTGAAGACAAGGCCCATCCCAACTGTTTGGAGCTTCTCTGGCCTTTCTGAAGGCCTGACCTCACCAGCCCAAGAAGGCCAGGCTCTATCAAGACACTGGAGAGGGCAGGTGTCCATCCCCATGCAGCCTCTGGTCCTTCTGAGAATGAGATCAGAGGAGAAGGCACTGAGAGGAGAGCCAGGAGAGCCCAGAGGCCCAAGAGGCAAGTGAGGACAGTGCCCAGGGTATACTCTCTGATGGCCAAGGCAGGGGAAATAGGATTTTTTTTTTTGGAGGGTGCTCCCCTTGCCAGAACTCAACTTAGACCATGTGGACTGGAGGAGAAATTCTGTGGTGGTCCTGTTGTGTGTGTTGTATTATTGTTGTGAGCACTGCCGTTTTCCCACCAGAATGAAACTCTTTCTGATGAAGTCATCTGGATTGGCCCCAGGGCCAAGCAAGGCTGGAGAAGCCCACTTCGGCCAAGCCTCCGGCATGGGGAGCGAACTGGGGTTTTCCAGCCATCTCTGTTTGCTCCACCAGTGGTCCCCCTAAGCATTTGTCAGACAGCAACTCATCTTTCCCCACATTGGAACAAAAGAACCACATTAACCTTCAGCCACTGGGGGGTGGGGGCACCTGCCCAGAGGAGCTCCATCAGGACCAGAGGTTCCTCAAACGTGGGAAAGCCAGCAGAGCTGAGGGGTGGGAGTAGGGGGGAGTGGTCATGTTGCTCATTCCAATCCAATTCTGGAAGAGGATTAAATGGCATCGCTATGCTAGAGTCAAGTTTTAGTGTGTCGAACTGTTCGACCACAGGATGGGCACAAATAGTTCTTGTGAACATTTGGGGTGTACTCTCTGAGTTTGAGCATCTTGCATTTCTCTTGAATCCAATAAACTTTTTAAAAAGCCCAGACAAAGTAACGTCAGGCTGGAGAAAGGGAGACACCCCACCACCACCACCCCAAGAGGTGACAAGGGGGCGCCAGGGGGACGCAGGGTCCACTCGGAGGCCCTTTGGCGGAGAGGATCTCTGGACAAGATTCTGGGGGGAATTCTAGGGTTTGTGCGGTGCTGATCTGGGCCCTGGGCACAGAGGGAAAGAGGAAGAGATAGAAGACCTGGTGTGAGGGTGTGGGGAGGAGCAGGGGAGAGGCAGATCCACATGGAGGGAGGGACCTGAGAAGGAAGGAGGGTGTCAAGGTGAGGCGGAGACAGAAGGAGAAGGAGAAGAGGGCGGAGAAAAGGGAGGGGTGGGGGTCAGGAGATGTGTGGCGCCCTGAGCCCAGGCCCGGGGCCAAGTCTGAAACGTAGGATCCGGCCTCCTGGCTGGTTCAGGGATCAGCGGAGCCTGGGAACCAGGGCGGGTGGGGCGGAGCCAGGAGCCAAGGAGCAGCGGAGGCGGGCAGAGGGCGGGATCCCCAGGTTGGGCCGGGGCCAGAAGCGGCCATGGCGCGGCTGGTGGCCGTCACTGCTCTGGGCTTGGCTCTTGCGCTGCTGGGCGAGAGGTTTGTGGCGCTCAGGTGAGAGGGGACTTCGGGCGGGCACAATGCTCGCGCTCCACTGGGCCTGAGAGCTGAGTGTAGGGGCACTGGAGGGTGAGGAGCCCAGAACGGCCGAGGTGGATGGGGGGCGGGACCTGGGCGCCGCAACTTTGCTCTCTTGCCCCCACCCCTACCCATCCTCTGCAGCCAGAGGGGCGAGGGTGAGAGCTGCAGCGGGGGTGGGAGCCTGGAAACTTCCCTTCCTCCCATGAGGGCGGGCCGATTCCCAAAAGCCCCGAACCGGGCGGAGGCGCCGGGTAGAGGGCTAGAGACAACGATCTGGTGGCCTGGGCGGCCCCGCCCTGGGCTCTGCCTTCCGCCACCCTTGTCCAGTTGTGCCGGATGCTGGTCCCTCAGTCCCTAGTTACCCGGCCGCGAGGCTGAAGAGGGCGTGGCCCTGAGTCTCCCCCACCCCCACCTCTACACACCCGCTCTCCGCAGCCCAGAAACTTTGCGACTTGAACTTCCAGGGCCGCTCCCTGGCCTTCCCTCTCCTTCACTCTCCTCCTCTCCCCCCCCCGTCTCTCCTTTCTCTTTCCGTCACCACACTTCCACAAAAGTCGCTGAGCAGCCGTGGAGAGAACCCCCCCACACACACACACACACACACTGAGTTGCCGCTGACTGGGGAGCGCGCTCCTGTCTCAGCGATTTTTCTGGGCTGCTCGTGAAGATCATCCCTGACTCTCCCCTTGTCCCCAGCGCGGGCAGCAGCCCCGCTCCCCAGCCTTAAGCCCATGCATTGCTTCCCGGCTCCATTTCACTCGGGTCCCAGTTTTAAACGTGTGCCCCACTGATGGTGGTAATTGGTGTGTGGCATGCTGGGGTCGGGGGACAGGTTGAAGCTTATTTGCAAAGTGAAGACAGCCAGGAAAAGCTGGTTCTGACAATGGGGTGAAGGGGGCAGAGCCCGGACTGGTTTCTTCAGGGACCTTGGCCAACTCCCTTCTTCTCTGGGCTGAGCTGCTTTCTTCATGACACTGAGGGTTCTGCGGTCCCCAGGTTCCTGATGTAACTCCCAGGCGTCAAGAGCCTTTGCTGGTCCCAGGTCTAGGATCCTATGACCTTCTAGGGCCTCAGTTTCCTTCTCTGTGACATGAGTTTGGGCATGATAGCCTCTGAAGTCTCTTCTCCATCTTCGATCCTGCAGTTTTCCTGGCAGCAACTTGACTGTGTCACTAGCTTCATTAGTATCCAGACCCAGAAGCCCCAGGGACTGCCCCAGTAAGACTGGGGCATGGAAGGGTTCAACCCAAGCAGGGGTCCCAAGCCAGTGTCTCCTGGATGCTGGCAATGCTTGGGCCCTGTGACCTCAGAGGGCTGGGTGGCCACAGGGATTGTCCTGGGTCCACAGCACCCATGTGGGCTCTCTGTTTCACCACCTGTTCCAAGGGGCACAGGGAGATGGAGGCAGGAGCTAGGTTCCTCTTCTTTCTCCTTCCAGTTGGTTGTGGCATTGAGGGGCCCGCTGTTGACAGTGGGACATGACTGAGAAGTGTCCTGGCCATCACGCCCCACACCCTGGCCCCTGTCGTATGTTCATATAGACATGACATAAGATGCACATATAGACATAAAGGCATTGAGCACACAAGCCCATCCTGACATCTTAGTAGATCCTCGGTCAAAAGAGGAGACCAGGCCCAGGTGGACCATGCTTGGGGCCCTCTCATTTATTATGTGGGTTTGGGGATTAGGGTAGAGACACAGCCTTTGCCTGCAGGGGGCTCACAAGCTGAACAGTCACAGACATCTGCCAGCAAGCAGGAGGGGCGTGAGATATGGGCCAGCATGAGCCCTGGCTGTACTTGGACGTGTGTGTTTTGGTGGTAGAATGCTGGGCCTGGGGTCAGGAAATCTACTGTTGGTCAGTTTCAGTCATGTGTGACTCTTCATGACAGCATTTGGGGTTTTCGTGGCAAAACAACTGGAGTGGTTTGCTTTTTCCTTTTCCAGCTCATTTTACCAATGAGGAAACTGAGGCAAACAGGATGAGGTAACTTGCCCAGGAAGGTGAGTCTTCCTGACTCCAGGCCTGACATTCTAGCTTTTTTGCCACCTAGTTGCCCTGAAGTCAGGAAGACCTGAGTTCAAATCCAGTCTCAGGTACTTACTAGCTGTGTGACCCTGGACAAGTCACTTAACCTTTGTCTGCCTCAGTTTTCTCATCTGCAAAATGGGGATAATAATAGCACCTTTCTCCCAGGCTTGTTATGAGGATCAAATGAAATGATATTTGTAAAGTGCTTAGCACAGTGCCTGGTACACAGTAGGCACTTGATAAGTGCAAGTTTTCTTTTTTCCATGCAAGCCCACAGGGTACACTAGAACCCACAGAGATCCTGGACCATTCAGGAAGATGGAGGAGGGCAGGGACATGACTGTCGTCCTCAAGGGTGTGGCCTCGTGGTGGCACAGCCCCGCCATGTCCTCCTGGGAGTCCTCCACCCAACATTCTGGAGCTTCCCAGAACTCTTGATGCTGGGGGGCAGCCATGGAGTATAGGAAGTGATAGGGCTGAATAACTCACTCCCAGGCTGATGCCCCAGGAGCCTGCGGGCTGAGTGGGGACTGTCCAGGGTACTCACCTGTGCCATGCCTACTTTCCCCATCTTTGTCCACCCTGGACCTTTGGAAATGTGCCATCTTGAGCAGGGCCATTCAAACCTTCCATTTCCAAGGCCATTTCTGCTGTTCCCTGGCTTTGAGCAAGTTCTGTGACCTGGGTATTTGGGATAAGCCAGCTCTGCTCTTCCCACGAAAGTGTTGTCTACAAAGGCTCACCAGGGCTGGCCTGCCAGGGGTTCAGCTCTTCTGTGATGTAGGGACCCTGGCTAAGGCGCTCCTCCAGGACTCAGAATAACCAGTAGATACCTTCATTTATATTGTTCTGTCCAGTTGGGGAAGCTGTGTCAGCCAGAGGTTCTGAGGCTGGGGGTGAGCCACTGAGGACAGGTAAGAATCTGCTACCAAGTTCAGCTAGAGTAGAGGCCTTGTCATTATTCATTCAAGTTCAGAGGGATCAGAAAGAGGGGAAACTGGAGGGAGAGAAGGGGGAAGCTACCTGATCTGTGCCTGCACCTAGCAATTGTCTGATCAGTCCTAAGAAGCGGAAGATACACATCTTGAGGGGACAAAGACTATTCCAACAATTTACCCACTACCCTTTATCATTCCTTCCCCTGGTTTGTGGGAGGCATCTGTTCCCTCCCTAGGCGGATGCTTAGCACTATGCCTGGCACATAGTAGACTCTCACTAACTGTTCATTGGATGGAATTAGCTAAGGGCCAGCATTTCCTGAACTGGCTAGTCTTTGCAGAATCCTTTCCCTCTCCTGTTACCTTACTGCTCCCCCTCACCCCACACACACAGTTTGTCGTAGACTGCATTTACCTGTAGCACATCAGGAGAACTGACAGAGGGGATGGGAATGCTTTATTCCACGGTGGGCCCTCCTGGGGATGCAGAGCCCCTTGGTAGGAGAGCCCTTGGGTGAATATTCATCAGCTGATACACTGGTTTATGTTCACAGGAATCGCCTTAACGCCTCCAGAGAGGTTGAAGCTGTTGACCTTCCCAACTGCCACTTCATCAAAGGTGTAGGTATGTATGAGGTAGGGGTTGTCCGCCCCCCAACCTCTGAAATGCAACTCATTTTTCTCCTGTTTATTGTGGGTGAGATCTCCTAGCTTCTCTTTGGGTTCATACGTGTTAGGAGCTGATTTCCCAAATCTTTGGGGAACCAGGGGCATGGCCATGCCTGGAGTTAACACTGCTTTTTCCTTTCCAGTCTCAGCCCAACTCTTTTGTAGTGGGTCTGTCATGACTGCAGTATTTAAAGTCTGAATTCACAGTTGTTCAATCCGCTTACCAAAATTGGAAAAGTTTGAAAGGGCTGTTCACTGTAACAAGTTTGTTGGGTCCAAGCCTGGCATGCTTCCAGCAGAGAGGACCTAATTAGCAGTGGTTTCTCCACTCCTAAGAGTTCCCTAATGGCTTCAAGGCTTTTGTCCAAGGCTCCACATTTTACTTCCTTATAAAAAGTGTCCTGAAAAGAAGCAGCATCCCTCCTGCCTCTGTGGGAGAGGAGAGGATAGTTCTGTTCTACACCGCCTCAGTAGAGCTAGGCTGGAGAGTGTCAGAAGAGGACAGCGAAGATAGTGAAGGGCCTTAGCTTGGATGTGGCCACATTTGCCTCTCTTTGTCTCTGACATTTAGCAGTAAATGCTTCTTAAATAGATCACTGGGGGCTCAGAGGAAGACAGCCTGGATTGTGAAAGACCTCAAGATCATGCCCTAGGAGGAGGAATTAATGGGGACATTTCTCCTGGAAAAGAAGACTTGGGGAATGGCCTGGTAGCTGTCCTCACGTATTTAAAAGGCAGATCCTTAGAAGAGGGCCTAGCTTTGTTCTGCTTGGCTCCAGAGAGCAGAGCCAGGAACAGTAGGGGGAGGTTACCAGGAGGCAGATTTTGAGGCAGATTGTGGTAGGAGGCAAACAGACAACTTCCTAACAATTAGAGTTATCTTTGAAAATGGAGTGAGGGCAGCATAACGTAGTGAGTCCCCTTGTTCCTGGTGGTTTCAAGGCAAGGCTGGGTGGTGGGTTGTTGGGAACATTGTGGACAAGAGTCCTGCTGTGGACATGAGTGGGACAGCAGTTAGTCCCTCACTGCCTAGCCAAGGGCTTTGATGGCTGGCTGTTGCCTACAGAATCCAAGGGCTTTAGCTAGACCACCAGACCTTCCACACTGTGTTCCCGGTTTTGCTCGAGCCCGTATGATCAGCCCTACCCCTGAGTCAGCTACTCACCAGTGCCCCCGAGTGCTGGCCACATGTGGTGGGCAGAGAGGCCAGTGAGGGCCCTCTGTCTTCACCATGACATCCAGCTCCTGGCATGGTGTGGGTGGGTGGAGACTAACTTCCAATTCAAGCCTTTTGTGTATAGGTCAGCTCCATGCAAGGTACCATCCCTTCCTTTGAGGAGTTTACACTCTCCTGGGGGTCCCTTATCTGGTGTTTTGTGGTGGAGAAGCCTTGGGGAATGACCCATAAGCTGGATCCTGGATCTGGAGCTTGGAGGCCATCTCTCCAACCCTCATCATCCCCTCAGGAGGAAGAAGGGGGACTGGACAGAATGTTGAGGGAGCTGGTGCTCTCTCCACTGTACTACCCTGTCTTCCCTGGGCGCCATGCCCACTGCAGTCTCCTCCTACTCGAAACTCCCAGAAACATGTACTATTTATAATTTGGAGAGGGGGAAAGGGGGGGCTTCCTGAAACCAGCCATTATCTCGTCTTTGCTCACAATGGCCTCCAAACCCTCCATCCTCATCTGTGAAATGGGAATAATAACAGCACAAACTGGGTAGTGTGTGTGTGTGAAGATAGGGCTCTTTCCCAGGCCACCCTTCACTGGCCACACTCCCCTTCCCCATTTTCATCCCTTCCCTGTCCTCTACTCAAAAGTCCCTCATGTCCTCTCTCTGTTGCCCATCACACCTGGACAGTGTGCCACCCTGGATTACTTCCCCATCTGCCCCCTTTGCTCTTATTCACACACAGCTAAACAGAGCTGTAAAGTGATGAAACCATGGATGGACCCACCACCAATTTCTGTGACATCATCTCGGTGGGCCCTCACTGCAGCAAGGCAGCCCTTTATGTTCCCTCATCTCTTAGCCCCCCTGTACTTCCCAAACTTTTTTCTCAAGCCTCCCATGGCTTCCCTCACCCCGGTCCTCAGCTGAGAATCCAACCCTCATATTTCACTTACAAGTAATGAAAACCATTTGCTGAATTCAATCTTCCTCTTCCTCCCCTCACACCTCCTTGACATCGCCTCCTCACCATTTTCTACTTTATTTAAGTTTTTCATAGTGAAATGGATCCCTCAACATGCACCATTGATGCCATCAATGTCAGCTAGGTGTTGCCATGAGTCAGGAAGATCTGAGTTCAAGTCTGTCCCCAGATACTTACTAGCTGTGTGACCCTGGACAAGTCACATAACCTCTATCTCAGTTTCCTCAACTATAAAATGGGAACAATAACACCCCCCTCCCAGAGTTGTTGTGAGGATCAAATGAGATAATTGTAAATTGCTTAGCACTGCCCGGCAAGCGGCAGGCACTCCCTAAATGCTTATTCCCTTCCCTTCAGAAACCCTCACTGGCCCTATCCACATCCCATGTCTCTCCCCAATTTGGAGGGTGGCCTTCTGCCATGGATGCCTCCCCTCCTCTCCCTCCCCGACTCTGCTCTCATCACTCAGCTGATCCCACAGTCCTCCTAGTTCCCAAGTCTCTCTTCACTACCCAAGCTAATGTCTTTTCCCCTGACATCTCTGCAGCCCTGGGCACTGTCAGTCACCCTCTTCTCCAGATACTCTTTTCTCTCCCTTGGCTCTTCTCCTACCTGCCCGACTTCTCCTCAGTCTCCTTGGAGGGCTCTTCATCCTGTCCCACCTGCTAAGTGGGCGCCCCCAAGACTCATTCCCCAACCTCTGTCCTTCATTTATATTACCTTGCTTGCCGATCTTAGCAGCTCTGAACTGAATGGGTTCAGTTATCCTCTCTGCAGATGACACCCAGATCCATGTGTCCAGCCCTTGTCTCTCCTCTGGGCTTCAGTTCCTCATCACCCATCTTCTGTTGGACACTTCATACTGGATGTTTTATAGGCATCTCCAACTCAACGTTTCTACAACAGAACCTATTGGGGTCCCTCTATTTGTGCAGGGCATGGCCATCTTCCCAATTCCAGGCTCACAACCCTAGCATCACCTCTTCTCCCCCACAGCCACTTCTGTGTGCACAGCTCACTTCTGTCCCCTCTTCTCTGCTCCCCCAGCCCCGCCTGATTTCAGGCTTTCTTTGTCTCTCCTGCCAGAATAGCCTCCTCACTGGCCTCTCTGCCTCCTGCCCGTCCTTCACTCAGCTGCCAAAGCCCAGGTCTGGCCGGGTCACCCCTTGATCTGCTCTATGAACATAGTGACTCCTCTTACTTCTGAGATCAAACAGAAAAAACCCCTCTGCTTGGTGCTGAAATCTCTTCCCTAGATGCTCCCTTCCTACCTTTCCAGTCTTCTTACGCTCTACTCCACTGTCCTCACTCTTCAATCTGGCCCACGCTGGCTGACCCCGCACCGTACCCTACCCTGGCTCAGATTCACTCAAACCCTTGGTTCCCTGCCCCCCTTTAGGATCTTTCAGGTCTCCAGCCGAATGCCCCCAGCTTCATAAAGCCTTCCCTGCTCTCTCCACGCTTTGTATTCTCCCAAAACCACCTTGGACTCATCTCATCTATAATTATGCTTGTGTCCAGATTGTCCCCGCCCCCATTGGAATATAAACCTTTGGAGGGCAGGGCTTGTTCCCTTTTGTCTCTGTCTTCTCAGCACTTAGCACAGCCCTGGGCACGTTGGAAACACTTAATGAATGCCTGTGCTTGACCATAGGACTTCTCACCTGAGCTTAGTTTTGAATCAAGTTAAGGGTGCAAAAAGATCTACACAACAGCCCAGAGGTTTTTGAGGCAGGCACCCTCCCTTCTTGACAGATGTGGAAGCTGGGCCCAGGAAGGTCAGCTGAATTGCCAGAGGTCTCATAGCAAGTGGGATGAGAACCCACTTCCTCCTTGCACCTCATCCCCAGCTCCCCTCCTCGTGTCAGTGATGGCTTTGGGAAACCCAAAGATGAGACCACCTTCCAAGGATGCCCAGGGCCCTCTTCTGGCCACGGGCACTGAGTGGGCTTGTCGACAATCACTGGCTCCTCTCTTCCCTCTGCTTTCCTCCTTTCCCTGCTGCTGACTTTCCCAGGAATAATCAATAGAACATAGGGACTTTCCTACTGCCCAAAGGGGCAGGTTCAAGGCCCCAGGAGGGGCCCAGATACCAGGCTTTGCCTCTATCCACAATCTCAGTGTAGAAGGCCAGAGGGCCAGGGCCAAGATCCAGGACACAGCCAAGAGTTCCGTGCTCAGAGGGGCCAGCCATGCCCAAGGAAGGAACCCACTGACAGTCAGCCAGTCATTCGTCCCCTCCCCAGGCACCCGTTCTACCCCCAACCCCCATCATTACCCAGAGCTCCCAAGGTCTGGCCTGGGCGCAAGAAACAGGGGAGAGTGTTAAGCCTGAGGATAGAAAGGGAAGAAGCCCCAATAGGGGAAGTCCCCTTATCTAGACACAGCCAGCTCCTCTCCCAGAGACTCAAGGCAGTCACAGGAGTGCCCAAGCTGCTGTTTCTGGGAAGCCAGGCCCAGGGAGGGAGGGAGGGAGGAGCTGACATTTCAGCTGGTGTCTGGGGCTCAGGATCTGAGCCCCTCTCACAAGGCCCCAGGCAGCAGGAGGACCAAAGTAGGAGTGATACCCGCCCTGCCTCAGTCTCTGGTTCCCTCCTTTTCCAGGCCCCAAAATGGGCTAGAAGTTAGGGGAAGAAAACACACTAGAATCCCTGGAGAGAGCTTCGGAGGGTCAGGGGTCTAGGACAAAGTCCAGGGAGAGCCTCCCTTCCCCCGAGGGCAGGTCCCAACCCAGGAGGAGCCTATTTGCCAGGATCTGCCTCCCAGCTCCAGGGCTAGGCTGGAAGGAGGACCAGAACCAAGGCTGAGGCCAAGGGTGAGCTCAGGCTCTGGCTACCTCCAGGGACAGGCCTAAAGTCCAGTTGGGGCCAAGGGGCCAAGCTCTGCCCCTCCCCTGAGGTCAGCAGCCCCAAGGCCAAGATGGCAAGACAGGATGCCCAGAGGCCTGACTGGGTGTGAGGTCACCCTGAACAGAGAGAGGCCCCAGGCCGCCGAGGTCCCAGGAACACAGACCCACGGTTACCTGTTTCCCTTTGTTTCCAGAAGCAGGTTCCGAAGACATTGACATACTTCCCAATGGATTGGCTTTCCTGAGCGTGGTAAGTGTCTTTCCTGTGTCTGAGCACTTCAGAACTGGAAATATTGCCTTCCTTGGGTCAGGGCCAGAGACTGGGGCTGGTCACCTCCTGGCCAGTAGCCAGACTGAACACAAGCTCAGTGTGCATCTCTCTGGCTTCCTGGAAGCCAGGTGCCCCTCCCGGAAGCCAGGTGCCCCTCCCCTGGGTCCTGCCTAGTTTGGGGACTTCACTCCTCCAGCATGGGAACCAACTTTTCCTAGGGTACCTAGTTTTGGACTGTGTTTGAAGCCTCTGCTTATTTTAAGCAAAGCACACTCTCTCCCGCACTGGCCCGTCTCTGGGGAACAGGGCACACTCAGCACCTGAGCAGCTAGTTTGTAGCCTCCCCTCCAGCCTCTCCTCCAGCCCCTCCTCTAGCCTCTCCTTCAGCCCGAAGGGGGCACAAGGTGTTTCTTCTCAGGACCTAGGACGGAATATCTTGAAGTGACGAGGTTTTTCAGGGCTTGCTTCCAGCTCAGAGTGGAAGCTCTTCTGAGCAGCACCTGCCTGTCCCTAGCTCTCCCCTCCAGCCTCCCACTGCCTTTTATGCGGGTTGGGGTGGGGCAAGGAGGGGAGCCTCCAGGCAGCCTGTGGCTCTGCCTCTGTTGCCCCATCCAACCCTAGGGCCTGATGAGCTTGGGGCTGTTTTGCACCAGGGCCTCAAGTTTCCTGGGTTGCAGTACTTTGCCCCAGAAAAGCCTGGAGGAATCCTAATGATGGATCTGAACCAGGAGAGCTCCCGGGCCCTGGAGCTGCGAGTCAGCCGAGGATTTGATCTGGCCTCCTTTAACCCCCATGGCATCAGCACATTCATCGACAAAGGTAAGAGCAGAGGAAGCCTTCAGTGACCAGGCGGTCCACAGCAGTCCCTGACTGCAAGCCTGGAGCAGCATAATGGAACTTCTCACACACGAGGCATAGGCTGTCTCCCACGGCTCTGCCATTGTTTGGTCCAAGGCTCCCAAAGTGTGTCTTGTCCAGCTGACTTTGTATTCGCCCCAGTGGTCTCTGTGAATTCCCCACTGTTCGCAGTTGGAGCCCAGCCTCCTTCAAAGCCTTCTGGGCATGACACTTGGCACAGAGGCGTGGGAACCTTTGGGTTGTGAGTTGAAGCAAGAATGGAAGGGCTCCTGAAAACTTGTACATGGAGAGGGGGAGACTGTCCCAGGACAATGGAGTCACCATAAAACCAGGCCAACAGTGGGGGGATGTTGGGGAGAGAAGCCTCCAGAGCACAGTCCTGGGGCGGAAGCAGAGAGCTAAGGTCCAGGTCAAGTGGCTATGTCCTCTCTGAGCCACACACTTTGTCCTTGCCTTAGATGACACCGTGTATCTCTTTGTTGCAAATCACCCTGAGTTCAAGAGCACAGTGGAAATTTTTAAATTTGAAGAAGAAGAAAATTCCCTTTTACACCTGAAGACCGTCCGCCATGAGCTCCTTCCAAGGTACTGCCATCTTGTTCCACTTCATTCACATGGAGCGTCCTCCAGGTGTGGCCAGCGGCCCTTAGTGGTTTACGTGGGTATCCTCTGCCCCATCAGGTGCCTAGCCTGTCCACTTCTAGGCGCCACAAGCTGGAAAGTCCCTGATAGCCAGAGGAAGCTCCAGGCAGCAACGACAGTGGCAGACTTCCAGTTCTGCTTGGGGCTTGTTGGAGGCAGGAGACAAGATGGCTCTCTCTTACCTGCTGCCTCCTGTCCTCAGCAGCCAGTGCGCTCTAAATGGGCGGGTTCGTGCTGGACTGTCACACTAGAGTCAAAAAGCAAACACCCACACGGAACTTCATCTGTCTGAAGCCAAATTGGGGGAGATGAAATTTGGTGATCTGGCTGGTCTGGGGCCTCCTGACAAGAGGCAGCAGCATGGTCCCTGAGAGGGGCTCCCCGGTGCTTCTCCTTGCTGGCATATTCCTCTAGGAACGGTCTTTTTGCTTTTCTTTGTATCCTGGGTACTTAGCTCAGGGCCTGACTTGCAGGAAGCACTGAACAAAGGTTTGGTGGCGGGCTTGGACACAGGGCCGACCCTGCCCTCATGGACTCCAGCAGCTGCATGCAGGAACCACTAAGCGGGCGGTCCTCCCCTTAGATGCAAGAGGAAGGAAATCTCCCTGTGTGGGCAATTAGGCAGCCAGCCGCCTTTCCTGCTCCTTAGTCTGGCTTCTGCCAAGAGTAACCCCACCCCAATTCAAGGACAATTATCTAGGCATCTTGTGCTTCCCAACTGGGTGACCTCTTTTAATTTGTACCTATTCTCCATTCCTTCCCAAAGCTTCCTGGGTGCCTCCTGCACCCACTGTGGGGCTGGGTTGGGAGTGGGGGAGGCGCAAGGTTTCCTTTGTGACCTCCTCTCCCTCATTCCCATCCCACTCCTCTTCTCCCCTGCTGCCACTTACCCCACTCCCACTTGTCCCATCCCCCTCCCACTTGACCCCTGTGCCTCCCACTTACCCCCCCTTCTCACTTTTCCCCTCCCCCTCCCACTTGTTCTCTCTCCCTCTCACTTGTCCCCTCCCACCTATCCCCTCCACGCCCTCCTACTTGTCCCCTCCCACTTGTCCCCTGCCTCTCCTGGTTCTCCCCTCCCCCTTCCCTCTCTCTCCCTGACTCCTTTTCCCTTCCCTTCAGGGCGTGTTGAGCCATCCTGGCCTTGCTGGAGGCCCAGAACACCAGCTGTTGCCGGGGAGGACCAGCAGCCTGCCCTGAGTAAAGGCCCAGGTGTTGGTTTCCTGGCCTGAATTTTCTCTTTCTTTCAGTGTGAGTGACATTGTCGCTGTGGGCCCAGAGCATTTCTATGCCACCAACAGCCACTATTTCTCCGACATTTTCTTAAAGTATCTGGAAGTCTACTTGAATCTGCTCTGGACAAACGTCATTTACTACAGCCCCGAGGGCGTCCGCGTGGTGGCCGAGGGCTTTGACTCAGCCAATGGCATCAACATGTCCCCAGATGAGAAGTATGCTTGGTCATCCCTCAGGGGCTTCTTGAGCCCTGCCTGAGAGTGCCCAGACTCCTAGGAAACAGGCCTCATCCTCATTCAGTGGCCCACTATCAATAGGGTTTGGGTTCCTGGTTTTCAATGGGCTTTTCTTTGTAATTACCCTTTCAGAGATTCGGTGAGCTAGACATAGGTCTAGAGCTGGAAGGGGCCTCAGTGGTCGGCTAGTCCACCCCTATGATTGGGCAGGTGGGGAAACTGAGGCCCAGGATGAAGGGCTACAGGGCCCAGCCTTAGAGGTCTGGTCTAAGCCCAGGCTTGCTGATCCCAGAGTCTGGATTCTTTCCCCTGGGCAGACTTTGGCCCTTTGCAACCAGACAAATCTGTCTTGAGGCATCTTCATTTTCAGTGTCACGAGGGACGCCAATCACAAAACCCACATTAGTCCAGGTGCAAAGGATCTGCCCAGATGAGGTTACAACACTTCAGGGAATGAGTAAAAAGTAGATTTGTGACCCCAGTCTCTGCCTTGTCGGCCTCTCCAGCCTCCTCTCTAGGGCAGCGGGCCTCTCTTTTAGCTGCCCCATGCAGGGAGGCTAAGGGGCACAGGAGACGGTGCTCTCCAAACCTGCAGGCGCTGTGGAGGAGGTAGGGTGTTCCAACGGGAGCCCAGCCAGTCCCACTCTTGAAACAAAACTACAGCCAACGGTGGCCAGTGGGCAGACCATGCAACGGGCATGCCTTGGCTCTCTCTAGGCCAGGTGGTCTGCATGGGGTCAGCATCCTGGGCCTCACAGGGACCTCAAGCACACTAAACAAAATACAGCAAACCAATCATATTGATAGTCAGTTAGCCGCTACCCCGTGGACCACAGGCTAAGGAGCCCGGCTCTAGCTAGAGGCCAAGGCTTGATGCGGATGCGTCACTTTAACAAATGTGTCCCTTTGGTGAAGGTACATCTATGTCGCAGATAGCCTAGCCCATGAAATCCACGTCATGGAAAAACACGCCAATTGGAGCTTGACTCAAGTAAAGGTAAGGGGACAGGATGACGCATCCATCCTAGCTGGCATGCTGCCATCCCAGCTACCCATCCCGCATGGCTAACTCAGCCTGCTGTGTCCAGAGCAGGCCTCGACTTAGTGGTCACAGTGACAAGTCTCAAGGTTGTACCTCTCCCCTCTCCCACCACACCTTCAGCATTGGCCCTGGGGATGCTGGGGTGTTGGGTTCTAATCCAAGGCCAGCAGGCATCAATGACCATGAATCTGTGCATACAGTGAGCTTTCCCAAGGCAAAAGGCTCAGGGATCAGCTCTCTGTGGAGGAAAATTGATGAGCAGAAGTAGAGGGGCTACGCCCCTTGTGTCCTCAGGCTCAAACACTCACAAGAAGTCTTAGTCTGGCCTGAAGGCCCAATTCTCCAGAGCTGATGGCCATTGTCTCAGTGAGGAAGATTTACTCTACTAGGGGTCACTCCACATCCAGGAGGAAGAAGTAGAGCTCGGCCCAGGAGCCAGCTGGGTATAAGGAGGTCATTGGGAAGTCATATGACATGGGCAGCTAAGTTGTATGGCCCAACTACATGCCACCTGTGTAGACACCATCTCATCTTCCTTTGGCAGGTGCTCCACCTGGACACAATAGTGGATAACCTGTCCATTGACCCTTCCACAGGAGACCTCTGGGTGGGCTGTCACCCCAATGGCCAGAAGCTGCTCATCTATGACCCCGGTAACCCTCCTGCATCCCAGGTGAGTTTTTGTCCCCCGCAGACCCCCTACCATCCACAAGATGAGGCTCATCCTGTCCCCACTCTCACTGGCCCAGCCCCTGGCAGCCCTCACTCCCCTGTGAAGAATACATGTTTGGCCAGAGTGACCTCTGGAGACATTCTGCAGGGCCAGCCCTTCCAGGATCATTCGTGCAGGAGGGCGATGCTCACTGATCATGAAGAGGGAGCTCCCTTTCAGGGTCTCCACACCAGGCTCCTCATGGGGCAGAGGCTGATCCCGCTGTCACTGGCCATGGGCAGGGCAGGGGGCAGGGGCTGATGCTGGCCATGTTCCTCTCTGCACAGGTGCTTCGGATCCAGAACATTCTTTCTGAGACACCCACAGTGAGCACAGTCTATGCCAACAATGGATCCGTGCTGCAGGGCAGTACCGTGGGCTCTGTGTATGGCGGGAAGCTACTCATTGGTACACTGTACCATAGAGCCCTGCAGTGTCAGCTCTGAGGGGCGTCCACAGCCTCTGCTCTTACTAACACCAAATTCACTGTGCACTGTTCTTCCTGAGGAAGTGCGTGTGGTACAGCTGATGTGAAGGAAGTGCCCATTTTCCTGGGCAAGGAAATGAGAGAGAGGGCAGCTGCCCTGCTGCTCCTGCCTGAGCCCTGTCTTCACCCATCCACTCTCTGCCCTCACAGGGCTTCTGGAATGGAGCCCAGGAGAAAGACCAGAGGCTATGGACTTAGTTCAGCAGCAGCTCTTAGCACTACCTACTGTGGTCTTGTTGTTTACAATGTCAACAATTAAAGGTTTCCTTAAACCCAGAGCTTGTCCAAGTTGTCCTTCAGATGCTGCCTATGGGTGCCTAAGAAGCCAACTTCTTTACTTGAAAAAATACATTTTTGGTTATCTTTTGTTTTCCATCCCCTGCATTTTCCACCCTAATTCTCTCTCACAACCAGCCCTCCCAAAGGCAGACATCTTGACAAAGTCTAATGACATATGCAGCATTCCACTCCCAAAGAAAGGGGGGAGGGGCTCCTCTCCTGTCTCTTCTTCCAAGCCAAGCTGGCAGTCACACCCTTCAGTGGTAACTGTCTTGTGATGGCCATTCTTCCCTTATGGGTGCATCGTCTTGGTTCAGCTGCCTCCACTCTGCATCAGTTTATATGTCTTCCCAGGCTCCACCCAAGATTCACCATCCTTGTTTCTTACAGGGCAATCATGTTCCCTTGAGTTTCTGTGCCACCGTTGCTTTGACCAGTCCCCAGTGCACGGATATTTATTGTTTTCAGTTCTCTGCCACCACAAAAATTAAAGCAGCCCCTTTCAAGTAGAGACTTCTAGTACTGATGGGGTGGGGGGGGGCAGTGGGCTCTCCATTGCTAGCTGATGCTCAGTACCTACCTCCCAGGTTCTATCATGCTTCTCCCTAGACAGGCTCCTACCTCAACATCAGTTCTTTCACCAAGTTTTGTCAAACCAGAGAAGAAAGCGCTGAGAATTCCAGCTGTCATACTTGCCTCAACTTACCACACTGCTCCCTGAGGAGGGAGTTGGTCATCAGATGTCCCTCAGCTCTTCAGGAGTCAAAAGCAGAAAACTTGTGTTGGCCTGTCATTGAGGGTGATGGTGCCTGTTTCAGAAGCCCACATGGGTCACTTTCTCCAGGATATAATTGGCATAAAATTATCCACTTTCTAATGCCTGCCTAGTAAATGGGAAGAACTTAGTTGGTTCTATAGAAAGAAAACTGGATTCCAAGCCCCCTGTGCCCTGACCCATGTTACCTAGGGCAGGTCTCTCATCTCTGAGGCTCAGATCTCAGAGCAGATGGCTCCGCCAGTTCTGAATTAATGACTAAAAATCAATGAATGAATGAATACACATTGTCCTTTAGCAATTAATAAGTGACAAGTAGAAAGGGCTTTTGCAGACTGAGGCTCAGTGGGGTCCCCTTTCTAAAAAGAAGAACATGCAGTTTAGGCGGATGACCTCAAGAGGGCCCCAAATCATACTATTTCATGGTTCCGGTGGCATTTTCCCTGAGATTCAGTACGCCTGTGTCTGGGTCCCACAAACTCTGACACACATAGCATGAGATCATTCAGAAGGTGTCGTCAAGGATGAGGCGGTTGCTGATTTTGAGGTACAGTCATCACTACCCATTCCTTTGATTTGTTCTGTACCCAAAACCTCAGATAACTCAAAGTACAGCCCAGTGCACAACGAATCACCACAGACACAGCAAGATATGAGTCTTAGTAATAAGTGTACCATATGTTCCTCACCCATGGTCTCCCACCTCTGCAACAAAGGATTAGGAGGGGGGGTGTCTTCTCACACCCTTTCATATGGTAAAGTCATTAGTGACGGATCTTACCCCCTTAAGTCTAGTTTGTTGAGATGTTGAAAGTATAAATTCCTATGGTCAACAAATCATTTTGAAGTTGCCTGTGAAAAGGACTGTTCATTCCTTTTCCACCTGTTCTATTTGGAGTTCATTGTTAGAAAGCTGTTTCCTTGCATTAAGCTCATGTCCCGTCTCTGCAGCTTATTCTAGGCCCCAGATTGAGAGCTAGAAGGGGCGGCAGAGGCCAACAAGTGGCTTCATTTACAGGCCCAGGTGAGGGACACAACGTGTAGGCTGTCACACAAATAACGCCAGAGGTAAGTTTTGAATCCAGATTCTCTGACTCCATCCAGGGCTCTTTCCACCACAGTAGGCCATCTCCATGACTCGTTTAAGATAGTGAGAAGCAAAGCTGGCATAAAACTCAGGTCCTGCCAGTCCCAGATCAAGCCTCTTTTCTCCACCTTAAGATAAGTTGGCCACAGGGGACAGGATCCTACACATTATCTTCCAGCTCAGCACTAATTAGTGTTCCCAGGAGGTTAGCCACACGGCTAAGTCACTTTCTTAGACCTGCCGCCAATCCAGGGACTTTATAGCCACACTCCAGATGCACAGGGAGATCTAGCTTACCTCTGAAGAAATGAACAATGTCTACCCTGTTATATGAGATGCCTCTGTGTCTTCCACTACCTGTTTCTCTATACCTGACCAGCTTTATTGGTGAAGGTTTGATTGTATGTGTGTGTCAGAGCCAGAGCCAGAAAGTCAGAGCCAGAGTAAGAGACTCAGAGAGAGTATGCTAAAACCTGCCATCCTCATACATTCTAATCTCAATCCCATGGGCTCTTTCATGATCCTTCACTGCTGCTAGTTCTGCCCTTGGGAGCCAAACAGGACCAGTCAACCCCCTCTTCGAAGTGCAAATGCATCAAATGTTTGATGTCCCCCCTAAGTCTTCTTGTTTCCAGACCAAACAGCCCAGTTCCTTCAAGTAACCCTGATGTGGCATGATCTCTTCAGAAATACAAGGTAAAACATCACTGACTGGGATGGAAACAATAGAAAAGATTAGTATAGATTGTATCGCACGCACGCACACACAACACACACACACACACACACACACACACACACACACGAAAGACCCTAAGTCAGAAACCAAATCACAAAAATAAATAAGGGAACAATGAGGGAGAAATGGAAAGCAATATCCAAGAACTAAAAACATCAATGAAAGCCACAAATAATAGAATAAATAAAATTCAGCAAATATCAATCAATAATAAAGATAAATGGAAGAAATTGAAGGCAGACTTGTTAATCTCTTAAATTCCCATCCGAAATATAACAAAACTTAAAAATCAACTAATAGATATTCAGAAAAAGTAACAGATTTGGAAGATAGAACAAATCTTGGAATTCCAAAAGCACCAAAAAGGTGAAAATCTAGACACTATATTTGAGGACCTAGTTAGAGAAAACTTTTCAGAGTGGACAAGTGTATGAAATATTCCACAAGTAGAGAGAATGCATAGAACCCCAGCAGGGAGAAATCTTAAAACAATGGGCATTCTCACATCACCTAATCTCCATAAATAGTCTTCCTCTAACCCAAATTTTGGGCAAGGAGCCCCATCAACAAGCAAAAACAAACAAAACCAAACCAGTTCCCTTTGTTTCAGACTCCAAAGTCAACAACAGAGGAGCAGATTTCTAAGTCTCCATCACCTCTTCTGGATCACAACAAACTGCCTTCAAGATAGATGGCTGACCAGTTGTGAACCCACGATGACTTTGGTTTCTCTGTATGTTATAAGTGCCTGTGGAAAAAGGCCCATATTCAGAAACCCACTCGTCTCATAAAGATGTCCCTGATCTATGGGTTAGTCAATGCTTCTTCCTACCACATATGAAAGTCTTTTTATTGATTTGTACCCTGAATTGTAAGCTGTGGGTCTTCAGTTCAACAACACAATAAAATTCAGATAATGAGTTAAAAGGGCTCCTCATGATGAACCCAAAAGAGAAAGAGATCTCTAAAATATCAATTATACAAATAAAAATTATTTATTAAATAGTTACTGTGCATCAGCCAGTGTGCTAAGTGCCAGAAAGAAAAAAGGAAAAAGTCTCTGCTCTCTAGGGACTTCCATTCCCTGTGTATAGAAATACATGCAGAATAAAAACAGCAAATATAAAGTGGTTACAGATAGGCATTTACTTTTTTGAAAGGTGTTTAAAACAGCTAAGGAGCAATTGCAAAACAAAATTTTGTAGGAGGATGATGGCAATGATGATGATGATGATGATGATGAATCTCTTTTCCCAAAGACAAAACTTGAATAAGGGAGAGCCAGACTTCAGGGCTATAGTAAGAAAAATTAATAATTTCAAAAAATGAAGTGTTTTTTAAACACTTATGGAAGATTAAGACAGATTTCACTTTCTCTAGGCATCATAAAAAAGTCAGAAGACAAATTAAAAATAAATGGCATGAATTACTCCATTAAATGGAGGAAAAGATGGAACGTTTACATCAATGGTGAAAAAACCCTTCCTTCTGCTTATAAGACATTTAATATATCAAGATGCAAGTAGATTAACATGTCTAAAATATACAATTGCAAGTGCAAAAAAGTAGGCGTGGCTGTAAAGATTTTAAATAAGGTCAAATTCAAACCAGAAAATGCTAAAAGAATCAGATCTTTTTGGTTCTTGCAATGTGTTATGATCCAAAGCCAAGTGTGGTCATTGCTTTCCTAGCTTATGCCTTGGTTTATGAATGGTCTCAGGTATTCCTCTCTCTCTTCTCCCCCCTCCCCCATGAACGAGGGGCTGCCCCTGACATGATCTGGCTGACTCAGACTCTTGGGAGAAGGTGCCTTTCCACTTTTACCAATTTTCACCTTTTTCCTTGTGTCTTTTCCAGAGTACGATGGCAGTAGGGTAGGGAAGAGGAAGAACACTTCTCCTACATCCTCCTACCCCAAAAGTCACTAATGCCTACCTTCCCAAAGGAGCGCTTGGCAATCTCCATGTGCTTGCTCAGGTAGCCTAGAAGAGAAGTCCCTCCTTTCTGTTTCCCTTCTGAGCACAGGTCAGAGGTTGAAGAACTGAGAGTGGACTTTTCCAACCTAAGAGTAACTGCAACGGGGAAGATGGGGGAATAAGGCAAGACATTATCTGGCTCTCCTAAACTCCTCTCCAAATAACTTAAAACAATGCCTGAAAGTGAATTTTAAAGTGGTAGAAATAATGAAAAATTGGGGTAAAGCAGCCATCCAGTCTAAGACAACTTAGAAGGATGTTAGAAAAGACCTAGCCTACCATGGTGGTAGTCCGTCTGGCAGTGAAGTGTGGACACCACCCCTCCCTCCCTCAACATACAGCAAGCCTTGGGGGCAGCTGTACTGGCAGCAGCTGCAGTTTGGGGAACTTTCACGCCACAGACAGTGGGGGGGCATTGTGTG